GGGGGGGACTAGGGGGTATGTATAACAATGAAAGAACTTTTTTCCAAAGAAAAAAGTGAACTGTGGGGGAGGTGGAACAGGGAGCAAAATGTGCAACAATGAATTAATGGAAATCCAAGTTCTAGATAAATTTACATTAACCTCTAAAAAAAAATAGATGCAGGGGGGAAAAGACCTATCTCTTGTTCAAGCAGAAAAATAAATCAGCATTGTTTTTGCAAAACAAAGTCAACAGCCTTTTTTATACTTATAAAAAAATGAAATGTTTTCCCACAAGTGAGAACAAAACAAGGATGTCCCCTCTAGCCATTTCTGTTCATCGTGCCTAGCTATAGATGTGAGTGCAATAAGGAAGAAAATAAAAATCAAACTGAAAAGGAAAACATAAAATTTGTTCTAGTTTACTGCAGAAGATCAAGGACAACTAGTTGTTATTGTTTGCCATCCGTCAGAACTGGCCCATAGCTGATCCTCCAGCAGGTTTTCGGAGGCCGTTAATCAATGGCAGGAGATTGTTCATCCTTCTCCTGCGGGAACAGCTGTTGTATTCAAACGTCATGCCTTTGGGATTGCAGCTCAGTTTCTTACCCCTAGGCAACCAGTGTATAGTTTCTTTTTTGTTGTTGTGTACCATAGAGTCAGAACCGACCCATAGCGGACCCTCTGTCAGGTTTGTGGAGGCCGTTAATCACATGGAAGGAGATTGCCCATCCTTCTCCCACAGAGCAACGGGTTACCTCAAACCACAAGCATTTTGAAGCCCAGCTTCTTACCACTAGGCCACCAGTGCACACAGTAGTACAAAAGAATTTCAGGACATTTAATAATAATGCTCATGTGAAACTTGTACGTAGTACTAAGTAGTCTTTTGAGCAGAACAAGATGGCTTCATGATTTAAAATCAAGAAAAATGTGCATCAAGATTATATCCTTTTCACCATACATATTCACTCTGTTTTCTGAGCAAATACTCTGAGGAACTGGACATATGAGGAAGAATGTGCCATTGAGTCAGGAGACTGACTCATCAACAACTTGAGCTATGCAGATGACACCACATTACGAAAAGGGAAAAGGGTTAGAAATATTTACTGGAGAAGATCCAAGATGATGGCCTTTGTATTGATTATAACTGAACATCAAGAAACTAAAATTAGGGGAGCTCTGGAGTCCAAGTGGCAAGAAGCTGTACTGCAATCCCAGAGGTACGTGGTTCAAACCCACCAGATGCTCTGCTGGAGGAGGGGCAATCTCCTCCTGTACCAGTCAGATCCCATTTGATGGTACACCAAGAAAGGAAGGAAGGAAAGTTCTTCAGCACTGGACTAATAACATTATGATATATGGAGGAAAGATTGAAGTCGTCAATGATGGCATTGGTAATTCAAGGTTATCAGTTAGAGATTAAAATCTGATGAAAATGAGCAGTGGCAATGAAGTTTCCTAGAGTCTTCCCTCACCACCACTTCAAGAGTTGTACAAGCCTATGCATAATAACAGGAGGAGAAGACATTAAACAGTCAATGAGTTTTGAAAGTGAACATTTAGATCATTAGCAGTGTAATGCTTTCAGCATGTAAGCAGTTAAGGTGTTAGTTAACTAATGAGAGGAACTGAGATTTCATTACTTTGTGCTCCCCAGTGAGGTGCCAGCAAGAAAGGCAGCTGAAAGTAATATATTTACTCTGGTTTTCTTCTTAAAATGCTTGTTTTTAAAATTGCCACTCTGCCTCTCAAAGTCTAACACTAACCTTAAAAACAAAAATCCCTCTAGCGGCAAGAAGCTGCACTGCAACCCCAGAGGTGGTGGTTATGTGCCTTTGAGTCGCTTGTGCGTCCATTCCTCTCTTAACAAATTTGAGCACCAATTTGCAAAATGAGCATCATTAAATGAGCATCATTCACTCTCAAGGTCTAACTTTATGTAAATGGAAATTATAATTTGGTGTAAAAGAGTTCCTATGATTCTTGCGTCCTTCAGTCCCTAGGAAATCAACATTTCTGCCTTGGTAAGAATACCAGAATTAGCAGGGATAGGTCTTTTCTGTTACTATCTCTCCCACCCCCACCCGCTGGCTGAGGACTTTGGAAACTACAGTCGTGTCTGATTAAACTGTGGACCCAGCTCCCAGAACAGAACAGTAGCAGAAGAGTCAAGGCGCAAGTTCTGATGAACTGTTTATCTCTTCCTTTCTCTCTCTCTCTCTCTCTCAGTGATGGGATGGGCTTGCTGAGAACGAAAAGCTGTGGAAGTGAGTCAAGGAGGGGGCAGAGTCAGGCAGGAGGCAGGTGTGTGTTCGGGAGAGGATGACAATGAGTAAAGGAATGGAAGACACCAATTAGGCTTTAAGCTGAGATTTTATTGGTCTGACACAGGGAAGTCCACAGTGGATCACTCAGGAAGGAATCAAGATGAGCAACTGCAGGACGGTGTCAGCAGAGTTGGGGCAGGGCACTCAGAAACATCTCAGAACTTTTTGGAGTACGTGTATATAGTGACGGGTTTTCTTGGAAGCAGCTTTTTCACCTTTTTCTTCAATTTCTTCAAGAAACTTTTAAAGCCTCTGCGAACGCGTAGGTGCTAGACAAGACAAGGAGATTCATTGAGAAGGTTGGCTTGAGCCAGAGCAGGGTCTATGCACAAGGGCGATATGATGATCCTCAAGTACCCACGTTTGGAAGGGACAGATGTAAAAGGACCAGAGGAAACAGGCACCGAGGAGAGGTCCTTCGCCCACCCAGGCCCATGCTACCCTCTGCACATCACTCAACCTCTCCAAGCTCATTTTCCTGCCAGTTCTAATACTTCCTGATTAGATAGTTGTATTGTTAAGTTTAATTGTGCATCAGATTCAATAGCAGGGATCATTAAAAGACAAACTGCTTGACCTCCCCCTGCCCCCAGAAGTTCCTGATACCGTGTGTCTGAGTGAAGTCTGCCAATTTCCATTTCTAACAAGTTCCCAGGAGGTCTTGATGCTGTTGTTCTACAGGGTCCATACTTTAAAAACCAGTAAAATAGCTATGAAAGTATGATATGTGTACACCTGTACGTGTGTGTGTGTGTGTGTGTGTGTGTGTGTGTGTATGTACAGGCTGAGTTTTGTTGAGAACCTATAAGGTAACTTCTATGTCTGACAGCCAATGGAAATTTCTCTCGCCTTCTGTGGAATTTGAGGGTAGAGTTCTTCAGGGCCGAGGAGCTCTCAGGCCTCATCCTTTAAAACTTCTGTCCTACCCTCAGCTTGCTTTCTTCTGTCACAAGAACCTTCCCTCAGTGGTAAAGCCCTCACCTTGTATCCTTCTGTTGTTCATGCCTAATCCAGGTTTTACCTTCCCTGCAAACTCTATTTAGTCCTTGCGTGGTACAAACAGCTAACATATTCAGCTGCTAACCTAATGGTTAGAAGTTCCAGTCCACCGAGAGATGATTCAGGGGACATACCTGGTGATCTACTTCCCCAAAAAATCAGCCAGTCAACACCCTAAGGGGTCACTGTACCCTAAGGGACACAGTTCTACTCTGAAACATAGGAGACTATGATGAATCAGCTAGACTCAGTTGCAACTGTGGAGGTTTTGGGTTTTTTTTAAACATACAAGCCCTTGCCCAGGCCTCATGGCTCTGCTTCTCTCTTGATATCATCTGTAAATTATAGTTCCACCTACTGCTTTTACAGCCCCCGGCCACTTAAGTCATAGAAGCATACAATATTTGGAGTAGATTTGACTCTTATGAACCCCTAAGAAAGAAGAGAACTTCCCCCTCATGATTCCCAAGGTTTTATAGAAGCAAAACAGCTGGTAGACCTGAACAGCCAACATTTGGCTAATAGCCCATCACTTAATGCACTGTGCCACCAGGATCGCTTGGTCCGGGTCTGCTGGTTCCAGCCCAGGGTTCTGACTCCACTCCAGATCAATGAGATCTGACTTTAGAGACGTGGCCTGGGACGAGCAGCTTACAAACCTTTCCCAGGTGGCGCCAGTGTGCAGATCAGGGACTGTGAACCCTGCTATGTGGAGTCTGAGGTTCAGGATAGTGAAGGAACTTGTTCAGGCCACTAACTAGAGCAGAAGTTCAACTAGGAGTCATCTCTCTGGTCACTGTCATCAGGTTTTCTAGAAACTCTTGAGGCTGGGAAGAATGCAAAGCCTCTCCAGAGGCTTGTCCAGCAAGTGGTAGCCCAGCCTCCTAACCCTGCTTTTTTCTCTGAAACCTCCCAGCCCAATATTCTGGCTTTTGGACCCTCCGCCCCCTTACTTCTCCCCTTCTTTATCTGCAAGGTCCCCAAGAATTTGCTTACCTCGGCAGCCTTTGGGGATTCACAGTTGAGCACGATGCTGAAACTGCTCTCATCAGACGTGATGAGCCCCACGCAGTTCTTCACTTGCTGCAGGAGAGAGGGAGATTATTACACCGCTGTCACCTGTGCTGGGGCCCCAGTGCAGCACAGAATCAGGGAGAACTGGGCTCCAGGTGCAGATACAGCTGGACGACAGCGCCAAGGACCTGCCCTGCAGCCTCAGGATGGCACACAGGGCACTGGGGTCTACGGATCTTACCCCTTCTTCCCGGAATGGACACTGCTCAGGAGTGAGGTTCTCCAGCGTCTTGCACTGAGTCTCTTTGATGACAAAACTTAGCGACTGTGATTTTGACAATGTAGCATCCTGTAAGCCCGGAGACAGTAAGAATCTCACAGTTAGGATATCTGTTTATGAGAACACTCAGAGAGCGTCAAATCTGTCCCTCAGCAGGTCGGGACCTCAAGACCCAGAAAGAAGGACTTTCACCCACCAGGGCCAAACTAAGGTCCAGAGAAGAGAAATGAATTAGCTCGGGCCGTGCAACCAAAAAGTGGCAAAGCAAGAACTTGAACCCAGGTCTACACAGCCCCCACATCTGGCACTATTTCTAATCTGTCACATCAGCTGGAAAGAGTCTAGAGCACTGCACAAGCCAATAGCTGCCACCATCTCCCAGATGGGGAAACTGAGGCCCAGAGAAGTGAAGACATCCTTCCTAAAGCCTCCCAGCCCACCAGAGCAGCAGGACCCCTAGCTTTTAACCCTTCATAACACCCTGGCTGCAGCAGGAGGCAGGACCCCCGTGGGCCTCCCTGCTCCTTCTCACCCAGTCTGGCTGAGGCTCAGATTTCAGGACACGGAAGGCATTCTCCTCCTCCTTTTTCGTCTGGTTGTTGTAGCTGTCGGTGGCTAATTCCAAGGCTTCAGGGAAGCTTAGGTTGAAGTCCTTGGTTAAAGAGGCAGGCTCTGCCCAAGTCAGGCCCAGAAGCAGCAGCAGTAACACGGACACACTGGTGCATCCCATCTTGCCTGGCTGAAGTCTGCAGGGTGCACCCTTTGCTTGATTTTTATGCCTGCTCAGTATGGGGTGGGGCTGCTGCCTTTCCGCAAGTAAACTTCTTTCATCAAGGTCACGTCTGGGAATTCCCAGAAAGTCGGAAGTAATTTTGGCAATTACTTAACCTCTTGGCTTTTCTCCAAACTTCTTGTCATATGAAATAATGACCAAGAAAGAGGAAAGTAACCCTGAGCAGAGGGGCTGACGCCTACCTAAATCCTCACCCCTTCATAACAGGGAAGGGATGCAGGGCTTCAATCCCCCATTATCGCTGCTGAAGGGGAAAGCATGGTGGGAGTAGGAGACAACGGATCAAAGTCCTGGCTCCGTATTTTCTGAAGGGAGGTACTTGTTTGAGTGTCTTAACCTCATTAGCTTCCCTCCTCAGAGAGTTGGAAGGTGTTCATTTCCTGCAGGATGGGGGCTAGCTAGGGTAGGGAGCTTGCAACCCCTTTCCCAAGACTTCCAGGAGAATGATGTGTTCTGGTGCAAAGAACAGCCTGGAAAACTAGACACTAGAGAAATGGAAGGCATCCCCAATATCACAGGGCTGCAGTCAGAGGACTCCAAAGATTAGAAGAAAGTAGGACAGCATTATAGGGCCTTACAGGATAGGAAGAGGCCTTCCAGAGGGAGACTCAGAAAACGTACAGGCACAGAGTCAGGAAAGCACAGAATGTCAAAATCACCAGCCATCCAATAGCCACGTGGACTGTTTATTATTTTAGTCTATAGTCATCCTGCCAGAGAAAGATGGGCAATCTCCCATACGATTAACTCTGAAAACCCACTGGAGGGTCAGCTATGGATCAGTGCCAACTCAATGGTAAACAACAACTGATTAGAGGGTCAGCTGTAAGTCAGTTCCAACTTTATGGTACACAACAACAACACGATCATTCTTTTCATCTTGAGGGAAAGGATAACGTCTCACCACAGAGACTGGCCAGTATGTGTCCTTCAAGGTCCCAGAGAGCGATTGGCAGGGCTCTTCCAGGCTTGGGATAGTTGGGGAGGGCATCTTAGAGGACATGGGATTTGAGTCAGATCTTGAGTTCAGAAATCCAAGAGGGAAGAACAAAAAGGCTTTGCAAATTTAGAGGCAGTAGCCGGTGTGATGTGTTTGGAGGGGTAAGGTGTTTCCATGTAGGCAGGAGGAAGAAGCAGTGAGGAGGGCAGATAACAGTCAACCTTGAATGCCCAGCTAAATGGCTAAATGTTGTTCCTGAATAGGGGTCCTGGATTGGATATATGGCTCTGCTTCCCACCATGCCAACCTGAAGAACCTATGAGCGTTATTCCTAACACCTCAAATATAAAAAGAACTAAGATGAAGAAAGCATAAAGTGTGGCATAAACACACAATGCGATGTTATATAGCAACAAAAAGAAATGAAGCACTAATACTGGCTACAATGAATGAACCCTGAAAACATTGTGCAAAGAGGGGAAGAAAACAGTTCTGAAAAGCCTCACACTCTGAGTTCACTTAGAAAATACGTGTTTCATTTACAACGTTACAGAGACAGAAATGCAGACTTTGGCTGCCTCCAGCTGAGAAGAGGTTGGGAAGAATGGGCATCATGGGGATGATGACCATGTTTTAAAACTTATTTTGGTGATTATTGAACAGCTGTATGATTATACAAAAAGCCACTGAATTGCACACTTTGAGTTGATTGTATGGTCTGTGACTAAAATCCCAATAAAGCTGTTTACCCACAACAGGACAGGTTGACACAGTGATATAACAATGGACTTGAGCGTTGCCGAGATCGTGACAATGACGTGGGTCAGGACAAGGTTCTGCACTGTGGTTCACAGAGTCGCTGGGAGTTGTAGTTGACTCGATGATACATACTAATAACAACTAAGCTGTTTTAAGAATTATTTATTTTGTTATTTTTGAGAATATATACAGCAAAGCAACTGTTTCTACAGTCAAAAATATTCAGTATTTTCTACAGGTACAAGTGAGTGTCATATATTACATTTTTTACTTGTACCGGTCATTCCCACCCTCCTTTTCTGAGTTGTTCATCTCCTACTCACTTTAATTCCCTAACCCCTAGAATTCTTAACTCCTCTTTTATGCTGCTATTGTCAATTTGATCCCACGTAGATAGATTTTAATAATAATAATTACTGATAATAAAATATTCCCTGAAATTGTCTTAAAAACCAAAGAACAGTTTAGCTTAACTACTAAAGATTGCCTTGAACATTATTCTCTTTTAAAATCTACATGAATTATTCATTTACCAGCTCTCAGAAGCATAGCAAGTGGTGAAAAAGACCATGGCAGGTGCACCTTAGTCTTCAAAATGACATCATTGCTCTTCAGTATTTTGGAGAGGTCTTCGAAAGCAGACTTCCCCAAAGCAATATGTCTCCTGATCTACTGACTGGTGGTACCAAGGGTGTTGATTGTGGATCCAAATAAAGTGAAATCATTAACAGTTTCAATCCTTTCTCCATCTATCATTATGTTGCCCAATAACAAGGACCTTTGTTTTTTTTTTTATTTTTATATAATCCATATTGGAGGCTGTAGTCTTTGATCCTCTGTAGCAAGTATTTCAGGTTCTCCTCACGTTCAGCAAGCAAGATTGTGTTGTCTGCATAAAGCAGGTTGTTGATGAGTGTTCCTCCAATTCTGATGCCACATTCTTCTTTATAGTCTTGCTTCATGAATTATTTACTCAACACACAGATTGAATAGGTATAGATAAAGGATACATCCCTGACACACACACTTCCTGATTTTAAACAAGGCAGTGTTCCATTTAGACAACATAGATTGTTGTGATTCACACAGTCAAATGCCTTTGCATAGTCAATAAAACACCGATAAACATTCTTCTGGTATTCTCTGCTTTCAGCCAGGATCCATCTCACATCAGCAGTGATATCCCTGGTGGCATGGCCTCTTCCAAACCCAACTTGAACTTCTGATAGTTCCCTGTTAATGTACTGTTTCAGCCATTTTTGGATGATAGTCAGCAGTATTTTGCTTGCATGTGATAGTGATGAAAGCTCTAAATATGTTCTTAGCCTAATTATTGGGAATATCTCAGGAAATAATGATCCTAAATGCAGCATTCCAAGGAACTTATGAGTGTTTGGTTGTACACAGTGTAGCGAGTAGGTTTTTTTCTTATCATTGTCATAAATACATCACACGATGTTTGCCCATTCAATTTTAGAGGTGTGCAATTTATTAACAGTATTCAAATGGCTATGCTGCCCTACCTTTAATCAATGTGATAGTTCCACTAATGTAAACTAAACTGCAGTGTTCTGTAAGCAATAATCCCTATTTTCCCACTCCTTCCTCTTGTTGTTGTTGTTCTATGCTGTCAAGTCAGAACCAGCCCACAGTTGAGCCTCCAGCTGGTCTTCAGAGACAGTAAATTGCACAGAAGGAGATTGTCCATCCTTCTCCTGTGGAGAAGCTGGTGGATTTGAACCACCTGCCTGCCTTTGGGATTGAAGCACAGCTTCTTACCACTAGGCCACCAGAGTTCCCTCTTCCTCTTGGTAACCACTAATAAATTTTGGTTTACATATTTGCCTGTTTTTGTCTTTTTTTTAAATTTTATGCTTTTGTCTTTTTTAACAACTAAAGTAATACATTATTTGTCCTTTGGCAATTTATCTCTTTTACTCTGTGTAATGTCTTCAAGCTCCAGCCATAACGTAACATTCATATTGCAATATCAAGACATCATTGTTTGAGAGACCCTCTCTATGAGGATAGTGCCAAAACAATGAATGAAGCCCCCCAAAAAAAACCTGAAGCCAAAGCAAAGGCATCAAAGGACAAGAAGGCAGTCCTGAAAGGCATCCAGAGACACAAAAAAAGAAGATCAGCACATCACCCACCTTCTGGTGACCTAAGACATTGAGACGCTGAAAGCAGCCCAAATACCCCCAGAAGAGCACGCCAGGAGAAACAAACTTGATCACTATGCCATCATCAAATTTCCCCTGACCACTGAGTCAGCCATGAAGAAGATAGATAGATAGATCTCAACACACTTATGTTCATTGTGGATGTCAAGGCCAACAAGCACCAAATCAAACAAGCTATGAAGAAGCTCGCTGACATTGATGTGGCCAAGGTCAACACCTTGATCAGGCCTGATGGAGAGGAAAAGGCCTATGTTCGACTTCCTCCTGACTATGATGCTTGGGTGTTGCCCCAATCAAATTGAGATCCTCTAAACTGAGACCAGCTGGCTAATTCTAAATACAGATTTTTCACACCAAAAAAATTTAAATGTCATTTCTCTTTTTGTTTAATAGTACACCATTATACAAGCACACCACATTTTGTTTAACAACTTATCTATTGATGGGCAGTGAGGTTTTTCCTTCTTTTGACTACTATGTAAGAGTAAGAAGAGGTGGCTGGAACATGTTTCGGGGAGCAGGTGCCTGCTTCCCAGCACCTGCAGCTTCTAACCACTCAAGGAGAAGGTGTGCGGATCCTTGGTTCTCGACCCTCTCTGTGAGTGGGTGAGAGCAGATGTTCAGACGACAGTCACACCGCTCTGGGGTCCTTCCTGTGGGTGGGAGAGGGACACTGGGAGCAGGAGGTTAGTTAGAGGGCTGGCCCCTCTCCTCCTGCAGCCCACCAAGGAGGCAGCAATTGCGGAGTCACTGCTCCTGGGCAGGCCTGGCCACGTTCACTCTCATCCTGGCCGCCTCTCCCAGTCTAGCTCTCTCCTTCTCATCCATTTTGGCTCATAGCTCCGTGCCTAAATTTGGGGGCTTCACTAGATGAGGGATGGGGCTAATGGGGAGCAGACGATTTCTCAGCTCACTTTATAACCCAGACCTAGGGTTTCTTTGTTTGCTGGGAGCTGACCCTGAGACACACATCAGACTCCTTTGCCTCCCGAACTGCATTTGATGGTCTTAATTCAGTCTCACACGGTAAAGCCAAGAAGGGTCCTAGAATA